TTTTTTTTTTTGAAAAATACTCACACTTGAAACTGTGAAAATTTTACCTTTGGTGGCGTGCGTCGCAGGGCGGAGATTGCCTGATCATGGGTCACTCCTCGAAGCGAAACGTTGTTCACCTAAACAATTTCACATCGCACTAACGCAAGTTTTTGGTGCATCCAGCGCGAGGCTGACTAATGACTAATGGCAGGAAATGTCAGAATACCAATTGGTTGAGTGTTGCTGTCGAAAAGCATAATGTGACAGTGACTTGGAACAAAATGTGAACTTATCAACTCGTCTTTCTTGAAAGTGGACTGACCAATTCTAGGTTCTCGACTTTTACAAGCTGGCGTTCATCGCGTCTTACAATTAGTCACCTTATATCACAACAGCTACGTTTCATATAGTTTATAACTTAGACGGTGCTCACATTGCATAACTATAATAGAATTATGCAATCAAAGCGCCCATGCGGTATCTGAAAAACTCCTAGAAAAATAGATAATGTATGCAAGAAGCATCTACTTTCAAGCCTTCCTTTTTCAAGGGCCTAAAGGCCTATGTAATCACATGTTTTTACGGCCAAAAAGCCAACTACCAGAAACTTGTGAATCAACCACAATCAACCACAATCATCACGCCGAAGATTTGATTATTACCTCCAAGACTTGATCTCCAGGTTTCAAGCGGCCATCGTGCGCGGCGGCACCATCCGGATAAACTTCATGGATCACCACCGTTCCTAGCACCGTGTCTGATCCACCTACTATCGACAAACCTAACCCTTTTCCATCCTATATGATATAGATTAAATGATAGATGTTCTCCAGATAACTCGAACGACTTACCTTGTCGATCTCTATCAAGGTTTCTCGACCAGTTTCTATTGCCGCCGTTCTCTCCACACTACAGCTTTTCTTTCGGGACGACTCTAAAAAAGCACATGGTAAGTATGAGAGGTCCTCGACAGCAGCCCGAGATGTAATGCAAATTGGATGTTCGTCGTTAAGCATGCACCGATAGACTTTTAGGGAAAAAGCTGTAACGCGTGATGATTGATGCAAGCAGACTTGCAGCAATTCGCTTGGCCTATATGCGCAGATGAGGATGTAAAGTTAGCTGCTTATTGAGATCAAGTTGTATTTAGTGGAGCTTGAGAAACGAAAATTTACAAAAAGCTTATGATTAGATGAGACCTTCGGTAGGAACTAGAAAACATTGCACCACAGGAGGGATGGGGGAACGAACTCTGCAGTTTCCGCCGCCTTAGCCGGCAACTGGTCCTTTTGTAATACTGTGGTATGTCGTTGCATGACCAGTGGCCCGTGAAGGCGGCTTAAACTGGGAAGTTCGTTGCCCCTACCCCTACAAGAGCCACCGGAGCGCGCAGATATGAAGAAGGAGCAAAAGGATAGGGAAAGTAAGCCTTTTCTCGCTTCTACTTTCGTCGAGCCGATTCCAACCTAAGGTTGAGTGACCGCTGTTGCCAGCTGTTCTATCAGAAGGTAGATGTTGAATCTATTTACTAACATATGGCACATTGCCCATTTTCTGCACCACCCCCTGAGACTTCAACATGACTGTTGCACTCCATCACGCCTTCTAGGACTATTTAATGGTATGGTTTCTTCTAAATAATGAGCCTTGATGATCTACCCAAATTGATGGGTTACGTAGCCGCAGCAGTCAACCACAGTTCCCTCTGAGCTAGAACTCCACCTATCCTATAACTGAGAGGGGATAATAAGCAACAGCGTTGTACTTCTTAGTTTAACGGGTTTGGAAAAGTGAGCAAGAATTTTTACATTTAAAAATGAGAGACCAATCAGAAGAAGAAGAGGAATAACAAAAAGAAAGAAATCATAGAAAGTGAAAACCCGTGGAAGTGCAGAAAGCGTTTTATATGCAGAGAGCTCGACTGCATGCAAAACGCTACAGTACCGCTCTTATTATAGTTTGAGAGAAAGACTGCGAACTTCACCGGAACTTTCCAAATCTCTTGACGCGATACAGTATTTCAGTTCAG